CCCCAAAACCCCAAAACCCCAAAACCCCTTCTCTCACCACTCTAACTGAATAAATTAAAAAATTTAAATTTAAACATGGAAAGGTACGACGCAAGAGTCACTGTAGAGCTGCCAAGGCAATGCCCTAGGCAGTCTAAGCACTCTGAAATACACATGTAAGACCATTCATATAAGCTTTAGTGGAAATCCAGGGTTTAGGAAACATAAAGGAAGTAGTCCCAATAGGAATGTTCTAGGAAAACGAGACCTATATGATGATAAAGAGAATATACAGACTATGAATATTAGTATTGAGGATACCGCATTGATCAATGACCAATATGAGCAATGACCCATTCCTAGACAACCTCCTAAGGAGGTTATCTCAAACCAGATGTTTCATACTTCAAGGAATAGAGGTCAGTGCTTAATACAACCTTTCTCCTACAGAGTGACTAGGTTAGGCTAATGCCTGTCCAGTGAAGGCTGAGCCTAGCATGGATCCTTGATGCGAACTGATAGGAGTGTCAATTTTTTTGATGCTATAACCACTTCTTTATCTAGACTACCAACAAGAAATCAAGCAATTACATCATTTGTTGATACAAAAAGACGAAGAGATCAGATTTCTAAAGACCTCAATGTCTTTACAATCTCCAGATAAACGTTGTGCGAATAAAGTGAATAAAGAGTCTCAAACAAGAGTAGATCCTTATGAGATTATCCACAGTCTCCAGGAAGAAAATAAGGAACTTTAAAAGAACTCTACAGGTAAGTCTAACTCATTATTAATAGTCTCAGGTTAACACCCAAACACTTTTATGGACCGACAACCTCATGAATCCAAATAAAAGACTATACGAGTACATAGAAACTCTTGAATCAGAGCTGAAGCAGACGAAGGTAGACCTGCAACTCTACAAGGTGAATTTCTTAGACCCTTTGAAACAAGACTTGAACGGGCTTGAGAAGCTAATCGAGCAGAAAGATACGAGATCAAGAAGTTACAGGAGGAAGTACAAGAAATACTATTCACGCGACCTAACTTCTAACCAAAACATTAAGACTGAGCAATATGGTATTGATAGTCAAACTTTTGATTTTGATACCAGAGTTGAAAACCAGAAGTGTCAGATGATGCCCTCAAGGAACATGAGAGAGCAGTATTATGGGCTTTCAGACAATCATAACAGAAAATCGATGCATAAAAAGCATACTCAGAGCCAAGCAAATCTTATTATCCCGCATCAAACTAGCATACATCAGCTGTAAGTGTTTTCGAATTCCAAAGCCCATTTTCACTATAGAAAAGGCCACGTTAAAGTTAAGAAGCAAGCACGAAGAAGGAAAAAATCAAGGGTTCATACACAACCTAATGAAGATTTCTACTATAACTAAGACAGATCTTCACTAAGTCTTACTATCTGGTAGTCCAAATGAAGAGATATATTCGTAGATGTTCTAGAGCTATCTTAAGGCTCCATGTTATCCTTCCCATGCTGGAAAGTTCCTATCCTAGGTATAAAGCCTGCTTTCAATTATATGCTGATAGCTAGGGGTTTTGGGGTTTTGGGGTTTTGGGGTTTTGGGG